AGATAAACATAGGCACAACCTGAGCCAGTGCTGTCAGAATGCAAGGTTCATAATACAAAAGAAATTACAGCAGTAAATATGTACTTTAGAAATGTGATATTAGAAAAACAGAAAATGTGTTGAGAGAAAAGGGGTTTGAGGTCATGGACAAGGAGTTAACAAGTTAACCATATTTCAAAGCGTACATATTTTGCAGATTACGAGCCACCGGGATGTCCTGACATGTCGTTCTCTAGCAGGCTTAAAACATTGGCACCTGCTCTATGCCTGGACTCACGGTTTTCTTGTCCATAAGTGCGCCCACAGCAGTAGCTCATTTATAATCATCCTACATTGTATGTGTTCTGATTTAGGGATGATGAGCTATTCTGCCTATTTTGAAAAATACTCGCATTCACCAAAATAAATCCAGTCCAAATTCATGTGTAAGATTCTCTGTGCGCATCAGGCATTCCGTGCACAGGCATTTAGCAGTTATCTGTAAATAAATAAAAAGATATGCATTTTTAGACATTCGTACACATCAGTTGACATCATTCCATCTGTGAAGTTAAAAATCTGTATGAGATAAACAAACTTGGAATCTAAACATCTTTCGTTTCGTCTTTGTGTGTTTGGTGGATTTGAAGTCCCCCATGTGTTTTGATACCTCCCCCTTTGTGTTTGTTTTTTTTAACAAACAGAACGTAGAGGTGTCGCGGATGTCAGAGGAGGCTTTGCTAACAGTGCCAGCTCACCAGTGAGGCAATACCCCCTCACCCCAATGACCCCTTATCACACATAACACTCATTACAGACACTCTACCCTTTTGACGCACAACGTACCTGCCAAATGCAGAAATCTCTCTCCTCCACCTTCTTCTGTTGTAATTTTTCCCTCCACTTATATTTTAAAACGTGATGATGTTGGTAATTGACTGGAATCCAGTTTCTAATTATTGATTCATGAATCCTACAACACAGATCCTGTGTCGTACACATTCTCCCATTTTTGGAGAATGAATGAAAAGCAGACTTTTCTTAAAAATGGATGCTGTATCTGTGAACCAATGAAATTCCAGCACCTTCTCCTGAAGCATTAACTGTATAATTTTGTCATTGATTCTGTCTGTTGAACTGATTTAACAATGTGATTTTTAAACAGTGTCTCATCACTTTATTTCTGTTAAGTCAGAAAACTCCAGTCTTAGTTTTACAGATTTGCACACAGACAGAGTTGTGCTTTTTATTTTGCACATGAAAATCAACTCTGTTTAGTTTGTTAGGAAATGTTCTCGATCACAGTTTGTCTCTCGTCTAACACTGTTAATGAAGATCCTGGAAATACGGAGATGCTTTGTTTTTATTGTTTTTTTTGTTTCGTTTTTTGTTCAACATTGTGAAGGTTCTTGCAGTACGTTCATATCACTGAACACAACGAAGACAATACTTGTGTTTAATGTTTCTTAATAAACTCCGCTCAATCAATCATGTTTCCCAACCACACTCTTCTCGTGCTTCATTTTAGAAATCTCATCATGAAAGCTGTTTTCTCTTAGTTAAGATCTTAGTTTAATGCTCTACCTGAAGTTAAATAATACCAAAAATATATCTCAACTGCTAAGCTGATATCACTTCTTTACACTTTGTGGAGATCATACAGGGCTTGTCATTTCCTTCCTATCCTCACTATGCACAGATGAGAAGTTCAGTGCAGTGTCCTTGCTGAAACTGACATCCTCTGAGATTTCCTCATTCATATGCAGAGACTCAGAGAGAAGTGCTGCCATTCATCAGCCTGAACAAAACACTGTTGTGCGCACACACACACACACACACACACACACACATTTCTTTCTAGCCAGCGTAAGCCTGATAACAAGATCTACACTGGCACTTTGTTTAAAAAATGCATAAATCATTTTATTAGATATAATAATAATAATAAGACCTAAAAAATAAGGCCTTAGTCAATAAAAGCACTCTCTTTTAAAGTTGTGGTATTTCATTTAATGTAATAAAATGCCTGAATTATTAAGTGCTTTTAAAATGAATGACTGCTGTAATGGTGGATCATATTCTGTGATTACAAAAAACACGAGGTGAAGTGTTTTTTTTAAAGCATCATGAGACGTTCATGGCTAAACCACAGGAACACTGATGTTCTTAATTATCAGAAAGTTTCCCTGAAAACCACAATTAACCATGTATGTTTGATTTACATACATGTATGTGTATACAAGAGATCTGACTCCGCTGCATTCCTCTTTGCAGAATGTGAACCTCCATCGCACGGCTGAGGACGCCCTGCAGACCGTCCCTCCTCACGTCTGACATTAATGGATGATGAAGTTTGACTCTTGTGTTTCTTTTGTTCACCTTGCCAATCTGCACAACCTGTTCACAGTGGTGACTGTCTGGTGATGGGCCTCCTCCTCCCTCAGAACCTCTGCCACATGCACACATGCACTTCTGTGTGAAACCCTCAAGTTTGTCTCTTTTAATATTTGAAGGAAGTTGGGAGCAGGAAGAGAGTTTGGGCCTCAGAGTTTATATTTGAAAACCACTTGGTGTGGCTCTCAGTGTAACTGGTCCGAGCCACTGTGTTGCACAGAGGGGGGGGGGGTTTGATTGTTAGGATACTCAGTGTGTTCTCATTGTGTTGATGGTGAAGTTCACTGCAGTATATATTTTGAAGTATTAACCACGTGGTGTCATTGAGTGATGGTGTAGCTCCCTGCTATATGTTTGACGTGTTGCTGTGTTGTGCCATCATTGTTTCACATGAAGGTGTCCAGTGATGATTCGCAATATGAGCCTACTTTGAAAAAACAATGAGGCTCGCTCATTTGGACAATATGGTGATGTCATGGATGGACTGGGTCATTATTTTCTATGGTGACAACATTCAATTTAAATATATAATATAAATGTCTTCATCCTTAGCTGTGTGGTCTACAGTAGAAGCAGATGTTATATGTAGATGATGACTCTACACTCCAGACCTCCAATGATGGTACAACTTGCCTCTTTTTGCATTTCAACACTAAGTATTGGAAATGCAAAACTATAACATGAGCTCAAAGCTGTTGATAATAAAAAAAGTGTTATTTTTGTACACCAACCTGCCACTGCCTCTGTCTCACATTTACTTCAGATGTGATTTCTAATTAAAGGCATTTACTTGTGCCATGGCTTCAACTTTGTTTTATAGTTTCAGTAAATTTAAAAAATAATATTACTTCGGTACAGTTGGGCCATTTAGTCAGAGCTTTGAGAAGGTTTGTATCCAACTATGTGGAAACATTGAGTGCTTAGTAATAATACCCTTGAAGAATCTAGGGCATTATGAAGAGAATTAGGTCATCTGAAGTCTTTCTTCTCTGAGACTAATCTACAGTTCGATAATGAGTTCAAGTTGGAAATGTGAACAAGTAGAACAGAAACAGTTCACACGACTTCTGTCTGCAGCTGGAAGCTTCTGCTTCCCCTTCTGCAGCTGAAACAACATGAGTGCTGACGAGAAACTCGCCAGCAGCAACTGCAGTGCACACTCACCATGAATGTCTGACATTGTTTAAATAAGAACAACTAAAGCTATAAAACAACAGACTTTTTTATTTGATTATTTGTCATACATGGGTTTTGGTCGGTTCTTTCCAGATTCAAACACCACGAATACTACTTTCCTGAACAGAGAAATCTGGAGATTTAATTTGTAGCAACAGTGACAGAACACACTCACACAGACAAAATACAAAAGCCTATTTGCCACAGCACGTCCTCTGCACTCCTGTACTCATGGATATCAACTTGATTAATACTTTAAGGACCCGCCTTTGTTTGGGGATTTGTTCTAAGTGGCTGAAAATGAAACTGGTAAATATTTCATTATATACAGTCAGTGATATTCACGAGTACAGGGAAATGCTCCAGACGGTTGTAACAGGGTGTTATCTCCAGATTGGTCACTTTCCTCTCATCTCTTCGCTGATTGGCTGTTTACTCCTTTAGTTCTCTTTTATGCTGATTGGCCCTTGGAGCGTTTTCCGGTTTGTGTGGGACCACAGACAAAAACATTGTCTTCAGAACTGTGGGAAAGAAAATCCTCTAATTATTTCCACTAAGCATTTCTGTTTTTTAAATCATTTTCATTTGTATGTAATAAAAAAAAACCTGAGCCATCAGAGCAAAGAACAAGTTTCTTACATTCTTGAGGAATTCCTCAGCAACGATACGGGCCCTGGCGTTAACGGACAGCTTCATCTCGCTTATCTCCTTGTCGATCTCCTCCATGAAATGGATGACATAGTCCACCAGCTTGTGTTTATACATCTGCTCCGTGTGGAAGTTGGTAATCAAGAAGCTAATATCATATCCCTGAAGTCATAGTGAAACAAAGGGAACGAGAAAAAGGTGAGTCAGAGGCTGGTAAAAGTCTCCGAAGATTGACAAAAACATCACCGGAGTAATTCAACTCATGGGAATTTCCATTGTAATTATTCTAGTATTTTATTTTTGTATACTGGATATCTGTGCATTAAAGGGATAGTTCACCCAAAAATGAAAATGCACTCACTATCCACTCACCACTAAGCCGATGGAGGGGTGGGTGAAGTGTTTGACTCCACAAAACAGATTCAGGGGTAACCAGTGTTGCAAAATCCAATACATAAGTACCATAAGTAAATGGTGGCCGCTGTGATCCACGAGCGAATGAGGCTCCAGAGGAGGATATCAGAGGACATTTAGGCTTGTCCATAAGAATCTGTCCCCATTTACTTCAAATGTATTGGATTTGGCTGCAACACTGTTTACCCCTGAGACTCCAGGAGTGTTTTATGGACTCAAACACTTTCACTCACCCCTCCATCGGCATAGTGGTGATGAGTGAATTAAAATTTTCTGTGAAATATCCCTTTAAGAGTCTAATGAGGTAAGCCATCTAAAAAAAGGTCACATAGTTCCTCATTGTATTTTCACTCTTCCTGTTGACTATTCATATTCCTCTTCTGTCAGTCCTTCATCCCTTTATATACTATGCTTACTACCCCTCCCCTTCTGTCTCTCACCTCTACTGGTTTCCTCCTCAGGATGAAGAAGTTCTCAGCTCTCATCATCATGAAGCGCATGAACTTGTGGCAAAGGATCTTCTCAATCTCATCAGCCTACATTTGATGACAACAGAAGTTGTTTATGGTGCATATACTGTGAAAGAAACTTGGTAAATGAGACATAAAGAAAGAAAGAAAGCAACAAAAATCCTGCTGGATTTAATCACCTGTTTGACAGCAATGCTGACTCTGACAGAGTTGATGGAGCCCTCAATGAGAACCTTCTCCTTGTCATTGCGGCTGATCACCACAGGCTGGAGTAACAGCTCCTTACTGCTCCTGTAATCACAGGTAAAAAAAAAAGATACCTCATTAGAAATAAAAAAAAGGCCAGCTGAGTTTTAACTTGAGTTGCTTGCGGTTCTTGAAGACGTTTCACATCTCATCCAAAAGTTCTGAAGATAGTTCTCAACAGTGAAAGTCCACTGAGCTGGAAGAATCCTGCAAAAGGCCCAGATCCAACTCAGAACTGAAGAAGCTTTTTGGATGAAAGGTGAAACACAAGCAAGTCCAGTGCACAGCTCCTGAAGATACAATGACCAGGATGACAGAGACTCTGCAGATATAGAACTAGTGTGTTTTCCAGATTAGACCTGCATGGCCCTACATAGAACCTTTGAGTTTATAGAGTCTCACAGAAAAACTACTATTCTACTCCTTGTATTGGAACACCTGCAAACAGGCTGCAGCAAGTCCCCATCAGCTCATTTTACTGCCTAGCCCATGCTCTTGTAATTTTTTTCCCCTCCTACATTTTCCTATGCAAGTTTGCACAAGCCTGCGCTTGTGTGACAGCGGCAAACAGCTCGAGGGCACAAGAAATAAGGTGAAGATGGGGAACAGACTGCAAGACTGCTCGTTCTCCAAACACATGCATGTTTTTTTTTTAACATACCTGACCTCCACCTCCGGCTTGTTGTGACGCTCCACCACCTGCGAGGAGAAATTCTCCAGGCAGAGGGCCGCCTGCAGAGTGGCCCTCACAGCGTTTAAGTAGGGGCGCAGAGTCGCAGTCTGAGGAGAGGGTGGACATGGTGAATGTCTGATCACAATGCAGAGATGATGTTATTGGTTGTCTAGATCAGGGGAACATGCAAAGTACAGCTCCTGTAGTTGGGGTGACTCAGCCTGCAGGGTGAGACTCTCAGGTCAGGTGAGATATGTGCAGAGATGCGGTCGCTACAACTCTGCGGTGACCCTCTAACACTCTGACACTTCCTTTTCTATTGTCATTTTAAAAAAAAGAACCATTCGCAAATAATAATTAATGAATCTACCGAGTCTTGCATTAACCACAGTGGGTGATTTCAGCTGACCGAGATTGCAGCTCATCCCATATACTTACATGTGGCTTCACTATCATCTCTCTGTTGGTTCTGCATGAACCAAAGACACAAACGCAGCCTCCTCCTGGTCCACAGACACTTTTCAGAAACACTAACAATCATAGTAGCGAGTAGAGAATGAGCCGAGAGGAAGATACAGCTCGTCTCAATCATTTCAGTCTGTGCGAATCAATGATGCCCGTCATCTCGTTCCACTGCAGCTAACCTCGTCTTGAAGAGACACGGAGCCAGCGAGCCCGGCTCGGCTCGACTGTAGCGACAGATACATGTGAGAATAACAATCAAACGTAAGATTGAGTACGAGAGACTTACCATTTTTCTGCTGTCAAAGACGGAAGTTCCTCAGCCACGCCTGGGACTCCTCTTCCGTGAATCCCACATCGTCGAGTAAAGACACGGTGCGCTCGTTTTGACGTAACGACCCGTTTGAGGAGGCGGGTTTAGCGGCGCACAGTGGACACTGCTCTTTGCGCTGCCGTCCCCGCCCGGGTGGAGTATACTTGATTTAAAAAAGCGAGCCTACCCTTCGATGCGTCCATTCTGCTCTGCGGACAGGAGACGCATCGTTCAATCACCATTATTTTACGAATCGTGTGGACCTTTTGTAGCTTGTTACCGAAGAAGATACGTTGAATCAGCATTGCACTATAAACACAATACAATTTTTTTACTCAATCACAGTTTAAGAGCCGAGACATTTTCCGGTTGCACCTTGACGCAACATGGTTTGTTCCGTCGATACCACTTTCATTTTAGATTTATTTGTCCACAACTCGAACATTTGTTTTTGCAGGTTAAACGACTCAAAATCCCCGTAAAACGTTTTATATATTAAATTATTAAAATCCCGTCACAGCAATTAACACTGTGTTGAAAATACGCTACAATTGTATTTGACTGTACTTGCCACCCCTGTTTAATCCCATTGGTTTTTCCCATCATGGACGCCATTCACTGACGGTAGATGTTGTTGCGCTTAAACATCAAAGATTTAAAAATGCAGCTAAAGCTCATAGCGTTGAGCTCCTGTTCTCGGAGAACTGCTTCGTGTTGAGTGTTTATGTTCGTCAATGTGAGATAACAGCAGCGGATATTAACATGTAACTGTCAATCACACCGTTTGGGCCCCGCGAGCTCGTCCTCTCAAGCAGCCCTGCGTGAACGTGCATTTAGGTGCGTGTGCGCGCGGTGTTTGAGTGTGTCTCTGTGATGGAGAGATGCAGGTGAACAGAGAGAAGCAGAAGAAGCAGCAGCAGCACAGCATGTTGTTAACCACACTGTCCTCTGTCAGTTCCTCCAGGTAGCGGCAGGTCTCGCAGCATCATGAGTGAGCTGAAGGACTGCCCCCCACTCAAATACTACGACTTCAAGCCCGTCGAGCACGTCAAGGTGTGCCCCCGCTACACCGCTGTGCTGGGCCGATCGGAGGACGATGGGATCGGCATCGAGGAGCTGGACACCCTGCAGCTGGAGCTGGAGACGCTCCTGTCCTCGGCCAGCCGCCGCCTCCGAGCCCTGGAGGAGCAGAGACAGGTAGGAGAAGAAAACATGTGGTGCGCCCCAGATTTCAGTTCACCAGTACCTCTCCATCGTTTTCATCCACCCTCCCTGAGTTCAAACCTCTGCTGTGCCTCAGATCCTCACAGACTGGCAGGACAAGAAGGGAGACAAGCGGTTCCTGAAGCTGGGGAAAGACCCTGACCCCGCTGCCACGTCTCGCCATAAACCAAAGAAACAGAAGTTGGATGGCAAAGGCAGTCACGGACCAGGTCCTGGTCCCGGCAGACCCAAATCCAAAAACCTGCAGCCTAAAGTCCAAGAGTATGAATTCACAGATGATCCACAAGACATTCCCCGCACTCCTAAAAACGATGCTCCCAACAGGTCAGCAACAATGGCTCCTCATAATATCTCTTTGTTGAATATATTACAAGACTCTTGGAGTTTTTAAAGTGAAATAAGTAAAGCTGTATTTCTGTTAAGGTTTCTTGCATTTGATTTTTGTAACGTATATGTGTTTTCAGATTCTGGGCGTCAGTGGAGCCATATTGCGCTGATATCACAAATGAAGAGATACGATTGATAGAAGAGCTTCTGAAACCCCCAGAGGATGAAGCTGAGTACTTCAAAGTATGACCTTCACTCAGGGCATGACCAAAACGCTGTGTGTTTTTATTGTGTTAAATGGATTTTAAACTTCAGTCTTGCCTGTGCCAACTGTAGATTCCAGCACTGGGGAAACACTACTCTCAGCGTTGGGCTCAAGAGGATCTTTTAGAGGAGCAGAGGGAAGGAGCACGAGCCAATGACAAGAAGAAGAGCCTGATGGGAGGACCGTTGTCTGAACTGGATGCTAAAGGTGAGGGGAGACTGAAGCCTGAGCCTCCGAATGACCACGCCACACTGTGTCCATTACACATGCATGTGTCTCCCTCAACACTCTGTCATATTTAACAGATGTGGACTCAATGCTGAAAAAGTCAGAGTCCCAACATGAATCTCCAGAGGACGGCTGTCCCTTTGGTCCTCTCACTCAGCGTCTGCTCCAGGCCCTTGTTGAGGTCAGACTCTTTATTTTGTTATCAAGTTTATAAACTGAGAAAACTTTCATTAGTGGCTTTCCAAAGTATGAATGTATGAAAAATGATTTCGCATTGACCGGTGACCATAATTATTGATATTGTTTGTTTTCCTCTCAGGAGAACATTATATCCCCCATGGAGGATTCTCCTATACCAGACATTTCCAGCAGGGATGCCAACGATGGTGCTGGAACGTCTCCTCGAAGCCAAGGGAAAGCTTTTAGGTATATGTGCTGCAGTATGTGAGCGAATGAACCTGCAGCATGATCTTCTGAATTCTCACCCAATTCCACACAAAAACCTCAGTGTCTGAAGTGGGATGTTAAAGGGATAGTTCACCGAAAAATTAAAATTCACCCATTATCTACTCACCACAATGCTGATGGAGGGGTGGGTGACGTGTTCGAGTCCACAAAACACTTAAAGAGTCTCAGGGGAGCAATATTATTTGTTTGTGTGTGGAGAGTTGTGTAACTGAAGCTCAATCAATGTGTGTGTAATCAGATTTGTAAATTTGTAAAATAATTTGTGTTCAGACTATTTGTGCATAATTGGAACTTGTAAACATGTAAATCATCTGTAAATGTGGTCATAGACATTAGAATATGTCCGCTTCACTTACCATACCTCATTTTAGGTTAAACAAAATATTTTGGATATGGACAAATCGCCACACGCATGAGTCACATCTGAGTTGCAACTGATAACTTATTAGAAGCTCTTGGTGCAAAACACTTAGCCTTTTCACTCACTAATATCTATGTATGCATTTACATAGTTGTCCACACGTGTACATATCTCAGTACAGATTCTGAATACACATTTACAAATATGATTACACGCACATGGATAAACATTATGAATAAAAAGTCTGGGTCTGATACAGTTAGACAATTCTCCAAACACACACACACAAATAATATTTTGCTCCACTCTATTTTCACAGAAACACAGGTGTTTGTCTAAATCAGGCTCACTTGCCATTGGTCAACAGCATTTGTTCATTAATGACACGTGTCATTTGGTCTCACTCTCTGCAGCGTTCCTCACACACGTTCGCTGGAGGCGCGGATCAAAGAGGAGCTGGTAGCCCAGGGGCTGCTGGATTCTGAGGAACGACCTGGACCTGGAGGAGACTCAGAGGACGAGGTCCTGGCAGAACTGCAGAAGAGACAAGCAGAGCTCAAAGCTCTAAGTGCTCACAACAGAGCTCGCAAGCAGGAGCTCCTCCGGTGAGGACACAGGCCTATAACCAAGACATTAACCGTAAAGTGAATAGTGTACAATTGGGTCTTTTTGTGATCAGCAGGTGGCATGAACTTCTTATTTAATGATGTTTCACAGGTTGGCAAAAGAGGAGATGCGCAAGCAGGAGCTGAGGCAGAGAGTCAGGGTGTCTGACAACGAGGTGATGGAGGGATTCCGGCGGATCATGGCAGCCAGGCAGAAGAAACGCACTCCAACCAAGAAGGAGAAGGACCAGGCCTGGAAGGCGCTGAAGGAGAGGGAAAGTATCCTCAAGCTACTGGATGGATAGAAGAAGAAGAAGCTCGTGTTTGGTTTCTGTTGGAAGCATTATTTTCCCGACAAAGATCAGACAGCTGTAACATGGTCAGTGAGCAGCTGTATCTAAGATAATGAATGATGCAGTTTACTGCAGGTGAACATGATTTGAGTAGAAACATCTGCAGCAGTATTTTTATGTCGTGTACAACAGAAAGATAAAATGATCATTAACACTTTGTAAACAGGCTTTTTTTTCTCCTTTTGTTGAATTTTTTTCTTTTGTGTGTGAATTTTTTTATGTTGACTTTTATTTTGTTTACTATTGTAATGTTATAAAAAAAATACACATGAATATTTGAATAAATCAGTACCACTTATAGACCATTGTTGTATGTGTGAGACAAAGGAATCAGAGCAGATGCATCATGCATTAGTGCTGCAGTGTTTTTAGTCCTAATGAAGAGTATCCTTGGCAACTGTCAACATTTACTTGGCTCTATGGGGGATCCTTGATTTACAATTAGTCCTGATTATGGCATGGAGTCGGATAGAGCATCTATCTGGATATATCAACTGAAGCTTATAACTCCAGATTTATGTCCTACCTAACCGGATATGTAACTAAAAAATAGTAACAATAATGTTTATCTGTTTTATAGAGGCTTTATAGAGTCATCCTTTTTTCCCCCTGGTCAACAGTCATGTGTTCTTTCTAAAGCAATTACTGATTGCAGATGACATGAACAATAGCACATACATGACTATTGGGGAATAATTTCCCAGAGGTAGCATGCTCCTACTTAATAGCCTTGATAAATGGTAGGTATTTATTTACCTACACAGAAAGCACTTCACAGTTTAGCCTTTCAGCAGATCTCAACTGAAGTTTATCACCTACAATTAAATAATGTGGGTGACTGGAGAAAGTTTTTCATTTCTTTAATTTACTTGTCCATATAACTCAGAACCATGGAGCAGTGTATGTTAATACACTCTGATGGAACATACATGTGAGAAAAACATAGTGAACACATTCATGCTAAATAAAAAAGTTGCAAATGCATCAATGCTTTTGGCTAATGGCCTGTCCATAACCAAGAATACAAACTCCTTCAGCTGTCAACAAGCATGTAGACCATTTGTTAACTTATTGATAATGTATTAAGATAAAACTATTGATCCCACACCAGGAAAAT